CAGACTTATAAAACCTATAATGGAGTAAATAATACCATAAATCCATAGTAATCAGTATAAAATCTCACGGATCAGATACATAGCGGTTAATATTTAGAAAAGGAGTTATACAAATACTTGTTTTAGAAAATCAGTGTACAAACAATATACACATGCACATATATACACATAACACATACATATACATATATAGTATAGAAGCAATTTTAACATATTTTATTTTCAGAATCTCCAGTTTAGACAGGACATATCTAATATTCTTATTTCTCATGCCATAAATGATTGGATTGAACAGAGATGGAAGAAGAGAATACATAACAGTCAACTCAAAATCCAAGTAAGATGGGGTATCTGAGGAAGATCTCATACAGCCAAAGCTTCCAGTTAATAGTAACATAGATGCTACAATAAGGTGGGGAAGAGAAGTGGATAACACTTTTTGTCTTCCTTTTTCAGAAGGAATTTTTAAAACTGCCTTGAAGATCATAGCATAAGACACAAACATGTAAGTTAAAGAACCTAGTGCAGCAATGATACTGGCAACAAGAATTCCAACCTCAAGTAGATTGAAACCAGAGCAGGATAGTTTAAGCAACTGTGGAATTTCACAGAAAATTTGATTGACAATATTAGAACAAAAAAGGATGGAAAAAGTGCCAGTGGCGTGCAACAGTCCATACAGAAGACCTGCAAACCACACTACAATTGGTATTTTAATGCAGGCTTTCCAATTCATCACCATTTCATAGTGAAGTGGATTGCAAATAGCAACATACTGATCATATGCCATGGCTGTCAGGAGGGATAAATCAGAAGCTCCAAAAGAGGCAAAGATCAAGACCTGTGCAAAGCAACCAAAGTAAGAAATATGTCTGGTGTTCATGAGAGAATTTATCATGGCTTTGGGAAGAATTACTGAAACCATGCCCAAGTCCTGTAGAGCCAAATGCATTAGAAAGAAGTACATGGGGCTGTGCAGTTGATGGTCAAAAGCTACTACAGAGATGATGAGAAGATTTATTGTTACAGTTGCCAGATATAATCCGAAGAACAAGAAAAAAATGTAAAAGCTGTATATGTCGATTTTTGAGAATTCCAGCAGCAAAAAGTAAGAAATTGTTTGATTATTCATGTTATATTTCAAACAAATCTCCAGGGCATAACTGCAAGGAAACAGAGAAGTGGGATACAGTTAGATCAAATGTGGAAAGTGGCATTTTGATATGTGGGGAGAACAGTAATCAAAAAAGGATATAAAATATGAACGGAATGAAGAGAGAAACAGACTATGGAAAGAATACATGTAGGATGGACACATTAAAGTAGAAGAGTTCACCTTTAATTTCTGTCCATTGTAACCCACACATTCTAAACAAACAAACACAACCTTATATTTTCCCCTTCTTCTTTCCTACTCCCAGTTAGGTTATTTCATGTCCCGATTAAAAGGATTGCCTACAGTTAGGAAAACCATGTTGAAGTCTACTTTCAGACATAGAAGATTACTTCTATTACAATCTCTTACAACTCATATAGGATTGGTACTGAGTTAGAAAATTGTTGGATGTGCTTGCTATGTGTGTTGTTTGTGCTTCTAGAAGGAGAACAATGTAAATCTAGCAAATAAATATAACAGTTGCTGTATCTTCTACTTGAAAACCTTGAGGAGATATTGCCCCCTTGTGCAATGTGTTGTGTGTGTGTGTGTGCACGCGCACGTGCATGAGAACACACATGCATATGTGTTATGTGGCAGACAGATGGAATTGTGTTTACATCTACTTGACAAAAGAAAAAAAAGAAAATAGTATAATAAGCTCTGTCTGATACATAAATACTAAAAACATAAATGTGCATTAATGACATAATTAAACAGAAGAAAAACACCTTATTTACAACATAACTTTCACTTGATATTCACTAGGTAGTATTATACATAATAAATATTGGAACACTGGAAAATATTTTTAAAATAGAAATCAGATATTGACAAAATGAATAAATAAATAATTTTCCCTTTTCAACAATCAGATGGAAAGTCATACCTCAATTTGAAAAAAAAATTCTCCCATCAAATACAAAACTCTATTCCATCCAAGAGAGTTTGACCACAAATTGAGATGCAGCCTATTACAACCATAAACTCTGAGATCTCAGTATTTCTTTCAGCAATGTGAACCTACATTTTCAATAATAATACTTTAATATTTTAAAATAAAACACTTAAATATTATCATTTTTTAATTCATATCCAGGGAGATTTGAAATTACATTGCTGATGCTAATTTTCCTACGATTGATATAATTTTCAGGTAGTGAAACAGCTATCTGCAGTTAAGAGGATCTTCTTCTGAATGTTTATAGCTTTATAGCTATTTCAAAATACTCCAGTATCAGTTGTCTCATAACATTAACCTATCTCAGAATGATGCTAACAGAAATAGAACTACAATGATTGCAGCAGTCCAATGTGAAGGGTGAAACATGAATCAGGTGAGAAGAAGTCCCTGAACCATGTTTCATCACTTGGTATTCTTTTTCACCTCTACTTTTTAAGAAATCCCACCTTCTCTAGGAGAACAGCTGATCAGTTGGTTAGTTAAGCCCAGTTAATCACATATCATTAAGACAAGAGTGGAAAATAAAAATGGAAGCAGAAGAAAAAAACTTCAGGAAACCTATAGAAACCTCTTGGATTGCAATAAAACCATGGAAACAGTGGAATTTGTGTTGGGAGTGCCAACACACAAGATGATAGTTAATTGTTGTATTCCAATTCCAAGCTACATCCTTTCGAGAGGATTTGGCTGTTTGGTAAAGGTAAATGTTTCCCTCGCATATATGTGTTAGTCATTCCCAACTCTGGCTCTTTGGGTACACTGCAAATACAGACCTAAAACATAGAATGAAGTATAATGTAAGCCTCTGGAGAGCTATAAAATAGTTGTAATAGAATAGTAGAATAAGTAATACAATAAATATGTAGAAATAAGAAAACTCACAGAAGCACAGCAAATAAAATTTAAAAAGAGAGTTTATATAGATATATGTTTTAAAAATCAGTGTACAGATCCTCAGTTTTGTTGGTTAATAATTTTGTTTTTCTGCTTTAAATTTTTCTCTAAAATAAGGTAATATTCTCCCTTGTGGTCTCTACTATATCCCCTGAAGAACCAATTAAACTCTTATGGCAAAGCGTCAAGCAAAATATTTCATCCTTTTTCGTATTTCAGTATTTTTTACTCAAAAATTTGCAAAGATTACCAAGTAATCAAAAAAAAATTTAAGATATTTGCAGAATAAGATACAAGGATTAGAAGATCCCTAGGCACAGATTTTTGAATGACTGGGAAAAACAGCTAGAAAGTGAAGGAAAACTGAACATCCCATTGAAAGGGGAGGCCATGTACAGGGAGACACAAGGTACATAATGTCAGAAGAATAATCATTCCTTCTAGTCACGATGATGAGGTTGGTGATGAACAAAATGAGCAGATGGGAAAGTGAGCTGCTGTGAAAAGAGGTTTTATTTTGGAAGCCAGGAGCTCCAGTGACAACAGAGTTGGATTCTGGTCATCAGGATGATTGGAAAGTAGAACAGAATGATTTTCATACCTTCCTGGACTTTTGTTTTTGAAATGCTTGGTGGGGTACAGGGTTAGTCTAATAATGTGTCTTTTTATATTTTAATTGTTCCTATCTGTTTTTTGGGTACTGAAATGGGGTCAATCAATAGATAAATATATACTATTTTGATGCAAGCAGCATTCCTATTACATATACATTAAAATTCCCATATATACATGAAAGGGTTAGAAGATGGTACTGCAAGTTTCCTTTCATTAAACTGGTAGATTTGGCTTCTGAGAATTCTTGATGACTTCAGGATATTTCAGTTTCCCAATTCTTACTGGGTCTGAAGAACCTCAATTATTCCTTGTGGATAGTTTGGATTGAACTTTTATCTTATTTTTAGTTTACAATCCATTCTTAAACACCGGATGGCTTTCAAGATTCTAAAAGAATAATTGCAACTAAACTTAAGAATTTGATTTCCTGACTGGCCTATTCAAAAAACTAATATCTATTTCTTCGTGTCATGTATGTGGGGATATTCATAATTTTGTATTTATTTACTTATATATTTTATCATGTTCATATAGTGTATTTTGGAATTGGTGACCCTTTCAGAGCCATTTGCCGGAGGGAAGAAAACACTAGAACAAAGAAAGTGAAACTTCACTGTTTAAGGAGGTTTTGATTTTGCACAAATTGTTTGATTTTTGTGCCTGGACAGTTGTGGAAGAAAAGAAGAATGTCTTCTTCTTCTTTTTTCTTTTAAGCCTAACTGGAATATTGGATCTGGATTAGAATTGGAAAATAAGAAGAAACTGTGGAACTTTAATTATAATTATACGACTGAGATTTATTATAAAAGGTCAAATACTGTAAATTTTAAACATTATGAAAAGTTGGGAATTTGAAAAAATGTGTGAGATTATAAAAATATGCATGAATCACTAAAATTAAAATTAAATGGAATTCTGAAGTTAGAAATTAAGGAGGAACAAGAAGCAAAGGAAGAAGAAGGAAAAGAAAGTAGAACTATAGAAAAAGCAATAGAAAATTTAAAAAAAAAACAGACAAAAGATTTCACTGGGTTTGACAGTGGCACAGGGAAATTGAAAAGGGAGGATGAATATCAGTGAAGTGCATTTTGCCTGCCATGATATATAGCAGATTAATGGAGTTGTAATAAGCATTGAATAGTAATATATTTATAATGTAAAAAATACTGAGATTATAAAGAGAGAACTAAAAACTTGGGACATGTAATGATGTATAACTATACAATATTATGATGAGAATAGCTGGAAATTGTAACCAGGCTCACACTTCGGCCAAAAAAATAAGCTTGGGCAGGGGGGGGCATAAAATATAATTGTATATGTACACAATGATATAAGTATATGTATATTTCTTTTTTTTTAAAAAAGGAGGATATATGTTAAAATTATTAATATGAAAGATGTTTATTGAAATTAAATTATTAACACCATCAACATTAAATGGAATCTGCTCAGATGCTGAAATACACCATGCAAATGAGATAAAGACAGTGGAAGGGAGAAGAGAGACGAGGAGGAAGAGAAGGTTTGGAGAGAGGGTAGAAGGGCAGAAGAGGAGAGAGAAAGAAAGAGTGGAAAGAGGAGAGAACAGAAGGAGAGAGGAAGGGGAAGTAGAGAAGATAAGAACAACAGATGGAAGAAAGGCGGTAGGGATGAGGAGAGAGGGAGAAGAGGCAAGAAAGTGATGGATGGTGTCTAAATATGGTGTATTGAGAGCAGAAGAGCAAATAGTCTTTGGGCATAGATGGTAAGATGAATTGACATAATACTGAATAATACAAAATAGTGTTGGTTATGTAATGGTTTACATGTTGTTACATATATGAAAATAAACAAATAAAAAAAACTTTGCAAAAAAGATATCACAAAATAGTGATTTGGCTTTTTCTATGTTATAAGCAGCTTGGATGAAACTCAATATTTCTCAAGGACAAGTCACTAAGATATCATCCTTCATATAAATCTCTTCCCTTCCCCAAAAAGTATTAGACTAGAGAACATGCCTTATCTCTTTCATTTTGTATTAAGTTGCATCCTCTTAATTTAATTACTTGCTTTTTTATTTCTCATGGTTATCAAAATGTGTATGAAATTGTATAGTTCACACAGAACTGCATACCCTGCCATATGTCTGGTCCTGTCAAAGCACTTCTAAAGAAAAGAAATATTGTGAGCTAAAGAATCTGAAAACCAATTGGATATAGAAATTTATTTATTTATTTATTCATTCATTCATTCATTCATTCATTCATTCATTCATTCATTCATTCATTCATTCATTTAGAAAATTTATAAAATTTATATGCCGCCCAATCCCAAAGGACTCTGGGCGACTTACAAAAAAAAGAGAGAGAAAAGGAGAAAAAAATCAGTTTAAAATCACAACACTGCATACATTCATTCTAATCAGGGCAGAACCTCAACAATGAGGTCAACAGCCCCAGGCCTGCCGGAACAGCTAGGTTTTTACAGCTTTCCTGAAGGCAAGGCATCATGCTGAAAACCAGAAGAAAACTAGAGACTTCTATTCCATTTTGGAGTGCAGCCAGTTCTATGACTTTATTCCAATCCCTTTTTCTCAGACTTTGAATGGAAGCAATGGCAAACCCCTTCTGAAAAAAATGAAAGGAGAAAAATATCAAAGTTTGTGACGAAATGACCATTTCAAAGAGGGAAATATTATAGAGGATTATACATTTTGGAAACTCTAAAGCTTTAGCTAGCCATTTTATGAAGCAATCAATAAATCAATCAGAATAGATTTAGAAGAGACTTTGGAGATCTTCTAGTCCAACCCTCTGTTGAAGCAGGAGTCCAGTCTCTTCTTAAAGTATTAGAGGAGAGTCATTTCATATGCTACTGTGTAGTGAAAAATAGAGCACTTTCAAGCCTCCTCTGCTTTTTACCTATTTCCCCCAATTACATTACCATCTGATACTCACTTCACTAAACATAAAGAAGTGTGAGTGTATAGAATGCCAGAGCTCCCAAATATCCATATTTAGCATCTATACAGTACATTGATAGTAATTAGAGGTGCAGAATATTGGCTAAGCTTTGCCTCCATCCCAATTATTATTTTCTACCATATTTTCACATAAATATAACACAGGAAAAAATAAAAATATATGGTGAGTGGAATATAAACAACATTAAAAGAATTTGTCAGAATCTCCACAGCTGAGAAAGGACACATTTAATATTCTTATTTCTCATGCTATAGATGATTGGATTGAACAGGGGTGGAAGGAGGGCATACAGAACAGTCAATCCAATATCTAAATAAGATGGAGTATAAGGGGAAGGTCTCAGATAGCCAATGCATGAACTTAATAATAACATAGATACTACCGTAAGATAGGGAATACAAGTAGATAAGGTTTTTTGCCTTCCTTTTTCAGAAGGGATTCTTAACACAGTCTTAAAGATCACTACATAAGATATAACTATAAAAGTAAAGCAATCTAATCCAACAATGATACTGAATACTAGAACTCCAACCTCAATTAGTTTTAAGCCAGAACAGGATAGTTTTAGCAATTGTGGAATTTCACAGAAAAATTGGTTGACCACATTAGAACAAAAAATGTGCCAATGATATGCAACATTCCATAGAGAATACCTGTAACCCACACTATAATTATTTTTTCAGTACAGTATTTCCAATTCATCACATTCTCATAGTTCAATAGATTGCAAATGGCAACATACCAATCATATCAATATCACAGAAGAATTGGTTGACCACATTTGAACAAAAATGGATGGAAAAAGTGCCACTGGTATGCAAAATTCCATAAAGAATACCTGTAACCCACACTAGAAAAATTATTTCAGCACAATATTTCCAATTCATCACATTCTCATAGTTCAATAGATTGCAAATGGCAACATACCAATCATATCAATATCACAGAAGAATTGGTTGACCACATTTGAACAAAAATGGATGGAAAAAGAGCCACTGGTATGCAAAATTCCATAAAGAATACCTGTAACCCACACTAGAAAAATTATTTCAGCACAATATTTCCAATTCATCACCATCTCATAGTGCAGTGGATGGCAAATGGCAATATAGCGATCATATGCCATAACTGTCAGGAGGGATAAATCAGAAGCTTCAAAGCAGAAAAAGAGAAATATCTGAGCAGCACAACCAAAGTAAGAGATTTGTCTGGTGTCCATGAGAGAATTTATCATGGATTTGGGGATAATGATTGAAGCAATACCCAGATCCTGCAGAGCTAAATTCATAAGAAAGAAATACATGGGGCTGTGCAGTCGATGGTCAAAAGCAACCGCAGAGATGATG